TCTCTGTGATGGGAATGTAATTGGTCTGTATTGGTGATCTAAGTAAATCTCGACTCGCGCAATTACAGGCACATGGTTTTTACACTCGGTAGTTGCAGTAGTTGTCTGGACAACTAATCATATGGAGAGTGACATGGTAGCCTGCATTTACTATCACCAGACGTGAATAAATATCCCCATCTTACATAGCCACACTATTTCACAAATCTGGACAGGACACTCACCCTACCATGATGCTTAATTTACTGGTTGACGTCGGAGGTGATGAGGTGATGTAAATTTAAAGGAAAGTCAGAGTTTAAAATAACCTGTAATCCTGAAGTACAACTGTGTATCAGGACAATAGATTCTGAAGGTATGGCCCCTTTGGTTGCGTCATACATATAGAAATATTCACTTCAGTGAATTTTGATTTCGGAAACATTATGAAGCATACGCGCGCCTTGCCCAGTCTAAATTCAGAATATGAGTTTCTGGTTAAGAAAGGTTCTATTATTAATCAAAAAAGGAATACAGACAATTACTTAAGCAGTTAATTAACACAATAAGTTTCCATTTCTGGAAGAATGCGTCCTTCCAGTCAAGAATACGAAGTTACCGCAAAGGTATCAAATCCGATATGGCTGTAGCCATATTAAGTATCAATTTAAACAACACATTTACAGTTCAGAAGAAAACATATAAACTCGAGTACAGAAAACAGGAAATATAACAAAATACAAATATTAATATCCTAAATTTGGACTGAAGAAAGTACCAAATACTGAACAGAAAGAGTTATCAAGATCATGGCACAAATATACCAATAACGAAGCCTTCAAATTAGATTCTAGAATACACACGCATCAGTTATGTACATCCGACCTCAAATGCTTCAAAAAACAAAAACGAATGAAATTATTAGCTTCACAATTACCAAGGGTATGTTTTGGTTGGTAATCATTAATCAACCTCCATAGTAAATCCTCACTCTCTGTAGAACTTGACATCACGCCCGAGTCCATTTTATACTATCATGTCCAACGGGTGCGATGTCAAAGTAAGTTCGTGACTGTCATGGAGATCGAAAAGTGCATGCTTACCTTCGAGAGTTAGACCTTTGATATGTGCTTTAGAAATATAACCCCATTGAAACATAGAGTTATTGAAGCACTCACATGGACGCTGTGCATGTATAAACTACATTGACTATTTTGTACACTTAACTGTTACCTGCTTACAAAATTCTCTAAATATATTAAATGAACACAGTATTATGTTGACATTACTGTGCGTGGGAGATAAACCAGAAATTTCAGTCGCTATTCGGTCCATAAAACAAGTACGCGTACTGAAGTAACCACACATTCCAGTAGTCCTGAAATGTCTCCATTACATTCTTGTTTATAAAAAACGAACATAAGGGTGTACCCTTGCCAAAAACTGTTACCACTAACTGGAACAGTGGAAAACTCCCGGACTAACCTGTTATTACTGAACACCCACCAAACACTGTTAGTCGGACATGCTGAGTTAACACATACTAACTCCGGAAATGCGTGGCAGATTGCTTTTTGCTGTAGACGACGGAAGTATATCAAGGATATATAGCCATTTTTGGGACATCTTTACGTACGAGTTGTACTGGGTGCGCTTTAAAATACCGTCGAAATGTTTGGTGATTGAAATTAACAAATTGGAATATATGTTTAACAACCTGGATGTAAGCGTGAGTGCATTTATGCAACATCTTTGCTGGTTGACTGTTTTCTGAACTTGAGTGAGTTGGCAAAATATTCAACAAGAACGGTCGTCAAGAATTATCGTCTTGAAGGACTGACAGAATTATAATTTTCTGTGCAAGGATGGTTGTTAACGACCTTCATGGAAGTAACATTTGGCCCATCGTTTACTGCACGCATCCAAAATCCAGATTATCCGTTTTAATAATTAGGTTTCGTGTGGAGGGAGGACTGGTCGGCTAACGGGCGATCGTATGGCGGGAGGATTGTCGGACAGGAAGCGACCAATGAAGCTCGAGTTGTCATCCAAATTCCTTTACTTTGAACTGTACCAATAGTAACGTGTCAAGTTAAGTGCTCAGGTTGGCATACCACACCAGCGTGGCTCATATCCAGGGTCTGAAGATTTCGTTCGTAGTTGTCCGGACCAGAAAAAGCTGCAGACGTAGGACGGAACCAGATTGAGCGAGGGAGTGAGAAACGATCAGAATGATCAATTTCGAAATCATGCGTGTACTAGAACATTCGAAACCAAAACATCTGCTGAGTGCATTGATAAGAGCGTGGGTGATCAGGCCAGCTTTCACCAAAATTGACTGAAGTCGACGGTACCAACAGGGTGACGGTCGTAGACATAGGCTTACGATACAAGGTGAAAGAAAAAAAGATAAGTGTAGCATGCATATAGAACGAGGATACAGTACTATCACGTATCCGTTGTTGTCTGGGGGGTTATTCGAGAAAACACACAGGTAGGCGTACGCGGCGAGGGAGAGCGACCTGTCGATGTTGTACTCGAGTTGACATCGGAGGCAGTGCTCAGACAATAGTTGAACGTAGTCTGATTTACTGAAGTTATCACTGCTCCGTGGTGTGAAAAATTCCCCAGGCAGACGCAATGTCATGCCGTATACCAATTCAGCGTCGGAACATTGAACATCTGCTTTTAAACTCGTTCTGATACCTAAGAACACGAGCGGTAAAGTCTAGCACCAAATGTTGCTTTCATGTTCTCTGAGAGCATTTTTGAGTTGGCAGTGAAATCGCATAACTAAACCATTTAATACTGGGTGATAGGCGGTAGTACGTATGTGTTCCGTGTCAGGCAACTGGATTGGCGTGGAGTATAAATCGGACTGGAATAGTAGTCCCCGGTCAGTTGTGGCAGTAGAGGGACAACCATAGAGCTCCTTCCATCGCTCTACGAAAAGGTGGCCAACTTTCCTCGCCCTAGTATGCATGATAGGAATAGCTTCGGGTCATCTAGTGAAGCGGTCGATGCACGTGAGTATGAGATCTTAATCATGCGATGATGGTAATGGTCCTTTAATGATCGAATCTAGCATCAGGCGTAGCAAGTGTGCCTATAGGGGCGGCTACGTGCCAGCGCACTTTTCATCGTTGACATTGTAAGCATTGCTTTACCCTCATAAGGACATCTTTATTCATGGACGGCCAGACGTATCTTGCAGCGATGAGATGTAGTGTGGCTTCGATACCTGGATGGGAGAACCCATGGAGGGCATTTAAGACGAGACGACGATGAGCAGATGGTACAATGGGTTGGGGTAATCTACTGTTCCATTATCCGGAAAGTGTTGGGATAAGGGCGAATGATGTTGATAATGTTCATCTACGTTTGATGATACGATTAGCAGATCATCAATATAGATGTGAACAAAAGCAAAATCTCGTACTATGCTATAGATAAACCTTTGGAAAGTTTGAGCAGCATTCCGTAATCCAAATAGCATTCATAGGAACTTAAAAAGACCGTAAAAAATCGTAGTAGCAATTTTCTCGATATCTTCAAGAGCGACTGGGATCTGATGATATGCTGGTACCAGATCAATCTTAGAATAGGTAGTCGTGTCCTTGAGTAATACCGTGATGTCGTGTATGTGAAGGACGGGATAGCTATCAAAACGTGATACTACGTTTAATGCTCGGTAGTCGCCACATGGTCGCCAACTTATCCCATCCTTTTGGCGAACCATGTGGAGTGGTGAGGCCCAAGGACTGTGAGAAGGACGAATAATACCTGTAGCTAGTAAATTGTCAAACTCACGTTTAGCGAAAGCTAATTTGTCCGGTGCCAGTCGGCGAGGTCGTGCCGTGACTGGTGGTTCGCGGGTGACGATGTGGTGTACCATATAATGAGTCACCGATAGATTCTCCTCGAGTGGTTTAGTTAGCTGGGGAAATTTTTCGAGTAAAGCGTGGAAAATGTCATCGTGTGAATGAAATACCTCTGTAATTCGGTACGCAATATGGTCCCCAGGGAGAGACTCCAAGACATAGGCGAACATTTGCCGCTATTTCGTGATGAGGCGGATCCCAAGTTGAGATACCAGGGCTGCGAAACAGACCTCTGGGTCGTGGGGAATAAATGCGACAGGTCGGAAATTAAGAACCTGTATCTGGGAGTCCTCTAAGTTTTCGTCAGTTTTAGGTCTATCTACCATTTTCAAACACTTGTAGTTATATATATATATATATATATATATATATATATATATATATAAGAAAATATCGATATATATTAAACAAAATTTAAAAGTTAAGGCGAAGCGTCTATTTTGCCGCTTGAGGTAGACTACTGTAATGAAAAATAGGCTATTCTGCGTCGATTTAAGCGAAAAGCAGACAATATAGTGGCCGTAAACTTGTAAATAGATAGACCTTTCGCTTCTTGTGAGACATTTGAGTAAAATGTCATTACTTTTCGACGCCATTTATCCTGAACTCATACCACGTCTTTCTAGACAATGTCTCCTGTTTTTCTTTGAAGTTTGCCTTTATCTCACGATTCTTGTTTAATCGGGTAATGAAATATACATAGATGCGCGATGGTGGTGAGAGAGAAGGTGTGAAGTCACAAAAAATGTTAATCACTATTACTGTCTACTTTCTAAACACAAGCATCCGATCCTGATGAATTGTGTTTACATTCATTTGTACAAGTATATCTGACCAAAAGAGATTTAACAATTGGGTAAAGCTTTTTCTATTTAGATGCTGACATGATATATTTGGTGCGTGTATAGTGTACAAAAATTTAATCACAGGATTCATGTTACCTTATGAAGTTCATTCATGCAGGTTTCAAAATTATTCTAACTGGTAAATCGCTATGACATCAGGATTTCTATGAATATCTGTTCTCCATCATGCATCACTACGATAACATCACTTTCGTTACTTGAAAAAGGGAGGTTGTCGAACAAAAGATGGCAGAACTAAAACCAAATTAGCGATTGTCTTGATTTGACCGCTACTCGAAAACTCGAAAAAATCGTCGATGTGACGCACCAATCGTCTCACAACACTTTGACCTTCCAGTGCTCAGAAACCCCCATCCATGGACGATACCACGGGGACGTTGTCGACAGCTTGAGCGTGGTAGAAAAGAAATGCTAGGCATTGTCGCGCACATGTAATTTTTTTTCTTAACGAGGTAAGTATTGGCAGTGTGTACTCTTTAGAATGCCTGAGATTAATAAAAAATTTATGCAAGGTAACTAAAATGTAAATTTAAGATGGTATTTAAGCGAAATTACCAGCCGTAACTACCCTCTAGACAACTCCGCGATTGAAAAAAATGGGAAAATAAAGATGATTGTAGCTAGGAAAAATATGGTGGTAATTTAGGTGACGTACAAACTAAAACTCTACTTTTGCCTACTCTGGCGGAATAATGAGACATTTCGACTTTATGTCTACCATGAGGCGAAAGGTTTATAATCAGCACTTAGTTGGTCACAAAATAGTCTACTTCTCGCCTAAATCCGCTCTAAATTGTTTAAATTCCGCCCAAATAGACGTAAACTTGAGATATCACCTACATTTACCCCGTGTTCCACTTCTTACACTATTATCCCGGAAATTCGCCTTAGTTTCTCCAAGAAAATCGACACTTAATGGATCATTAATATTTAACAGAAGCAACATCGAAGTAAAGCTTCACTGATTGTGATTTTATCATAGTGATTCTATCTGTGAAAAAGAAAACATCAGTTCATAATCGGTTTCAAAACAGAGAAACTTGACCTCATTTTTATTTCCTTATTTACTTGGCTCATGAGCTAAAGTATTTGTTAGAATTCATTGCGTTGTCGAGTATCCAATAAAACTAGATAATGTGCTTCCCTATATTACTTTAATTCTCAATAATAAGTCTCTTAAGTCTGTGAATAATAGAATGTCAGTGTTGGATCGTAGCTGGTGTCAGTTTGTAATCAGAACCCTAAACCTGACTTGAGAAACTAGACTCATAACTTCAGTTTAACTTCTAACACCTAACTCCAACCGTTTAGGATAATAACTGGTCTCAGCTGGTGACAAAAACTGTGGAGTGATAACCGTAAATCAAAATATGAGTCCGACTTTTACTAGGTAGATTCAGCCTTTTACTACAAGGGATATTTTGACATGTAAGGGTTGATTATTCATATCAAAGCTATTATCTTACTGGCATTTTATTAATTTTAGTTATTGATTGTATTGTGACTAGGTTGACTGACAAGCCTCTCAAGTCTTCAGTCTTTTATACTTTTACTCATATTGTACTCCGAACCAGATAAACGCAGTGCAAAACCAATTAAGTGGTGAACTGGCAGTAAATACAGCATTCTAAATTATCGTGAGTTGTATTTATATAACGCATTTTGATTGATAGTCTATCCTCTATTAGTCCCATAAAAAGTCGCAACACATTAAAACTATCATATTCCGTCATTGCACATTGACTTACATGTAGAAGATTAATTTAGCGAGTACTTATATTGTTTATTTGTTTTTCCAATTCCTATTAGATTCGTTGGTGTAAGTCATAGATTATTCCTCCTATTGTCTCAAGAATCTCCAACTTTTACAGAACTAGTTAACTGTTCGTTCCTTAGGGTCTGTGTCTAGAGAAATTGAGTGAGAATTAACACTCAATATAGTCCTCTTTGGTATTCCTAGAGCTAAAGTAGTCATGGAGCCTTCTGAAAGATTCGGCCAAAATTGTATTCTTGAGTTATTTAAAAAAACAGGTTAGTTCAGTGAGTGTTTTATGGGATCACTCATTGCAGCCATCACAATGTATTCCATCTTCAACCTGGAAGGTCCACCAGTCACAACGACTATTTATTATGATCATTTATAGGGAACGACTTCATAGGTTGAAAAAACAGACGTGTACACAAACAACAAGAAACGCTAAAAGACAAACCCTTTTGTTAAGCGACAGGAAAACTAAACCACTTACCTGGTATGAAAAATCTTATTAGCCTACAAAATTCACTGAATTGTGGTTAATAGAGATCCTTCTTTGTTGCCAGTAGTATTGAGTCGTATTCTTTCAGGTGAAACAAATTCAAATACCTTGGGTTAAAATTCAAATCTGGGTTGGTTGGTGAAGTAGCCTAGGTTCTGCGGTCTGTTTTGGATGTGCGTGTGTTTATCACTCATGCTTGTGCTCATGTGGTTAGTGTTGCTCAACGCCTTCAATGTTGGATAAACAGGTTGTTACTGCTTGCAGCTCTGTGGGGCTTGTGATTTGAAGTAGGAGCAAAGGTACCAGTTGAGTTTACCTTAAAAGCTTTCTGAAACTTGGGGAACTTGGTACATGGAGCACTGCTTTAATAATGAGGCTTTACTTCCACATACTGTTTAAATGGCTATTGTTTCTAATACCATTTCTATCGCTTGCTGGTTGGACTATTCTAGTCCATGTATGTCTATTTTGTTGTGGGAAGTAGACCCAAACACCGTCCCGTACAAATACTTTTAAAGGGTCAGAAACTATGACTGACCCCCTAGACTGAAACTATGGCTTGCAATTAGAAAAATAAATGTATCAATTGAATGAGCTACTTTATGAGGATATCTAGCATTAATATCATGAATGAACATCTATAGCCGGCCTATCAAGATGATCTCTGTTACCGTTTCAAAGAATGGAAAGTTACTGCATAAAAAGGCAAAAAAGCCTCTCGAAAACAATCTCACTCAAAGAACCCATTGCCTACAACTGTAGAATATCTTATTTGTCGTTTCAGATGTACACTGAAAATAATCACTGAATCATCCCTACAATAATTAGATTGCGTAGACATAAACTTTATCAGGTTATCATGTACAATAAATCCGTTAATCCACCTACTTGAGGTAATGTATTGTATAAAAGACTTCATATAAGTCTGCCGCCAGTATTAAATAACATAGCAGTAGGCTGTAAGATGGCTAAAAATGGGTAAACGAAAGCTCGACTAATTCTTAATATGATTCGCTGTTTGATTAATCCTTGTTAGACATATTTCCCATACCTAGAATCCCTGCAGTAATCTTAATTTATATTTCAAACCCCATCAAAAAGATCGAGTGTAACCACAGACTTGGTAGTTCTGTAGAAGACAGTGTAAAACATACACCGTGATTACGGACACTAACCTCTGACTGTCCAATTACGAACTGGGCAGTTTATATATCATCAAACAATAGGAAGATAGCTGCATGCTTTAAGTTAAAAGGCTTTATCACAGGTACTTAATCCATCCTAATACCACCTAATCCTTCCGCATCTGTTTCGAGAATACTATAGATAACAGTGTTCACATCGAACAATCTTGCCTAATTTGACTTAGGGTGTAGAACAACGAAAATGAGTTTAAATAGGACATTTAATAAATCAGTAAGGTCAGAGAAAATCCTCTCCAAATCATAATCCACGGTTGTTCAATGAATTAGAGGTAAATACCTCTAATAGCCATCCTTGTATCTACGCATTTATAGATGCATTCTAACTGTTTGAGGTTTACAGGATAACTACGATCATTGCTTTTAGATTTTGGATGATGTAATCCAGATTTGTCGTAGAAGTGTTCATTTTTTGTCTTGAGTTCCAATATTCTTTCCCAAATAACTTCTCATCACTCCCTTTCTGTGAACGCTATTCTCCATGTTATATGCTAAATACAATTGTTGAGACTACTTTTACTTTTACTCCTTATTTTGCTTTTGCCATTTTGTTGTACTGATGTACTGTAACAATTCTGATCATCGTACATTTGTGTACGATTTCGCATTGCTTTTAAGTGAATAACATATCATATCTTTCACGGTTTTCATTAGCAATGATGGATGGTCTCACTACTGTGGTTCTATTCCCAAAAATGTCATGTGTGTGTCAGCTATAAAAGTTCCTTGTGAATTTCACTTTTTATCATGTGCTCCTAAATACCCTGGTTATGGTCTAGAGCAAAGAGCGTTCTCTTATGACTACGCGTATATAGTCATTGTTATAAAAGTCCTACTTGATGCCTTCTTGTGACATGGTATTGTTTAAGAAATGGAAAGGATGGAAAGCGAATGTCTGGTGCTTGAACTGGATTGATGGGTACAGAAGATTTACCTACGGGGGGGGGGTTACAGAACCCTGATTTCAAATCAATGCTGCACATAAGCTTCAGGGTCCTGATGGAACTAACGACTTCTGAACCTATTTTTAATCACCGGACATCTGACATCGTTTTTTGGGTTGAACCTCTAGGTTAAGTAAGGGCTCGAGGAGTGCCTCTATAAGGGAACCACCGGCTTCGTTTTAGACATCCGTAAAGTATCCTAACTCATAAAGAAATTCAATTATTTGTGTGATGCAAATATGATTGCACCAATGATTATGTGTTTAATTAAATAAATAAATACACCATATCTCATATTTGAAACTTTACATTTTCAGATTTATAATTCCTGTGTGAAATTTCATTACAAATGTGTAGTCAAGCAGAAGATTGTTCTTGTGCTTTAAATTCAACAACTGAGAAGAAGAAGAAGAAAGAAAGGTAGTCAATCTAATAATTCAAAAAAAAATTTTGATTTCATTTTCCACAGAATTTCACATTGTATAAAATGTCATTCACCACCTGCGATATTAATCAGAAAAGATGATCCAGCTTTATGCAAGTATAAATTCGTTTATATCTAATCCATTATTATTTGCCTTATTAGATTATGTTTCATTAATAATTGTCTGCATAAAATAAATACAGTCTTTGGAAAATATAAACTATCTTCCAAGACTAGTAATAATATAGCTGTTGGTTTTTCCGGCGGTCAACATTCATCTGCATTATTACAGATGATATTAAAGGTATTTTGTTCATTAATAATTCTGTTGATCGGTGAATTATGTAATTTTTAGAATAATAACAATATTCATGATGGACAAACTAAACGAAATAAAATCATTTTACCAAAAATATTTCATTTAATTGGTATGTAAGAACATTTCTAATTTGTATTTCATTGTAACAAAATAGAGCCAAATGATTCACAAACGAATTTAGAATTAATTACAAAATCAATGAAAGCTACTGGTTTTGAATATCATATGATTTCTAGGGATGAGGTAATTTTTTTCTCTATCTATCAAGTAATCTTTTCCCTAAATTTTTTTTTCTCTCTTAAAGATTTCACAAAATGATAAGCATGAAAATAAACTAACATCTTCATTACTCAGTAGTAAACAACGATTTGATAATTATTCTCGTTTAAATTTACTAATTAATTGTGCAAAAAATCTTGATTGTGCTTATTTAATTTTGGGTGAATGTGGTAATCGGATCGCTGTGAAATATTTATTAGATATTATAGAAGGTCGTGGAAATCAGAGCAGTATACAAACGGTAAAGCATATTATTATTATTATTATTATTATTATTATTATTATTATTATTATTGTTTTAGTATCATAATGATAATTTTGTTATTATTACTTTGTTTGTAATAATCACTGAGTGTGTGTACTACATACTATCATTATAATTGACCTCTTTGATATAGCCATAGCTGCAAGAGGGTTATTAAGATGTCTAAGAAGGATTCGGTTGTGATTTATTTTGTCTCGTGTTCTGTCACTTCTCGACTGTCCACACTGTGGAAGGGTATTTCTTAAGGAACCTGAAAAGGAAGTTGGTCTTACAGACCTGGGAGCGTGACCGTTGAGGTGAAGCAAGATGTGACATTTTTAGGATCGAACTTTTATAACCCCTTCCTTGTAGGAAGACAGATGTTGGTTGTCCAAGGGAAACACCTTACCGCTGTCACACCTCTCTACAGTCGGCAACACAACTTCACCCTCAGACCTTCAGTTGCAGCTTTGAGTTCTACCGTTCTCCAGTCAACCTGCGTGGCATGGTAGAATCTAAAGGAATATATATTCCGGACAATATAACTCGGTTGGGTCAGTTATCGTCAGAATCTAGCTTAAAGGTTTATTGACTACTATTTCTTAGTGATGTTTGCCGTTTGACATTGTATTTCTGATATTTATATTTAAAACAAGTAGTCCCTTGTATAAATTATGATAAAACAGTGAGAAGACGTAATTGATCTGAAAAATGTGATGTATTTGCGCTATACATTTGGAACAATCTGGTCACACATATTTACTTGTCAAGGCATTTTATATGAAGATGAATAAAAGATCAATTAAATAAAAGTTCAAATAGACATAGGGTGATAATTGTAAATAAAGGAGACAGAGAATATTAACGTAATGTGAAAAGAATAAGAAAGGGAAGGAAAATTGTCACATTACCCTAGACTTAAAGATTACCAAGGTAAATTCAAGGTTACGACAAATTGTTTCTGCACACATAAGGGGAGTTTTAGCTTTCTAATAGCCAAGGCCTCCATAAACCTCAACATTCGTCCTTCAACATTTCTATACAATGTTTTGAAGGCTATCTTGATGTCAATCTTATGCCCTGTCTCAATTATGTGTTTTGCGATCGATGAACTGGGTTTTCTATTTCCAACGTTAATCGGCTCATCTGACGTTAACTGATTTTGAAGCCACTTAGGTACATGTTCCATAACCCTTGATTGCAAAGTCCGATTACTCCTCCCTATGTATGTGTCCACACAAACATGTAAATTGATGAATGCAATGGGATGTGATGTAATCATTCGAGCAACGTTTAGGTATATGTGAAATCATGGGCTTGGTCTTTTCAATGATAATCAGTTTAGCAGCGTTGTATGTTTTCTCTATGGCGGCTTTTAGTCTCTGTCTTAATATTAGACCATGGTAAAGTGATATAAACCTTTTTCTTATCAGCAGAATGAAAAAACTTGCTTTTGTCTTAACTGATCTCTACACCTATTGATGAACTTTAGCGGATAGCCATTTGAAATCAATGCTTCAGTTAAGAATTTTGCATCGTCGTCAAATGTATCCGTGGTGCAAATTCTTTGAGCCATAATGAAGAGGCATTTTACCAAACCTCGCTTATATTGCAGTGGACAAAAACTGCTGAAATTTAGGTACTGTCCAGTCCACGTCGGCTTTCTATAAACAGACCGCTTTATAGTTCCATTATGTCTTCGGGTCAACAATATGTCTAAAAAAGGCAACCGATTATTATTTTCTGGTTCATGAGTTAGTACAATGTCATTCTGAAGACTATTAAAGTTGTCCAGTAACTGGGAGACGTTAAGTTGTTCATCACATATAATTAAAATATCATCCATATATCTCCTATAGAGAGTCAGCTTATTAATGTGCTCATTCCACAAATTTTCAGCATATGCCATATAAACATCAGCTAATAGAGGTCCCAAAGGACTACCCATAGCAACGCCATCGACCTGCTGGAAATGTTCATCATCAAACGTAAAATGAACTTTCTCAGTACATAATAAAATTAATTCTCTTAGTAGACTTGACTGAATGGGAAAAAGAGGGAAATTACTTAACATACAGTCACAAAGAGTGTTAACAGTTTTCATTACGGGTACATTGGTAAAAAGGCAGTTTACATCAAAAGAATGCATAGTCTTTCCTTTAATATTAATGTCATCAAGAACACCTATCAGTTCAAATGTATCTTTCAGGGAAAACTTACACAATTTATTACGAATCGGGCTAAGTAATTTAGCTAACCATTTGGCTAGCTTATGTGTAGGTGAGCCACACACCGATAATATCGGTCTCAGTGGATTGTTCGGTTTATGAATTTCGGGTAATCCATATAAGTTCGGTAGTTCAGGACCGGTGGATTTTAACATATTAAATTCATCCTTATTGATAACATTCATGTTTAGTAGCTTTATTAGATTGGAGTTAACTCTCGATTCTAATTTTCTAACCTCATTATTAGATGAATTATTCGAAATTGGTTGATATCGCTCACCAATTTCACGGTGCCAAATTACGACACAGTAATATTTTAACATCCAAACATTTCTGTGCCTTAAGGAACCTCTGTAGAAGATCAGATATCGTAATTCTCAAACCTGACAAAGCTTCTGGAGTAGTTGTAATGAATAAATGTGATTACAAGAAGAAAATGTTATCCATCTTTAGTGATGAAAGAAAGTTTTTGACTAATGTTTCATCTAATAATGAGGTTAGAAAATTAGAATCGAGAGTTAACTCCAATCTAATAAAGCTACTAAACATGAATGTTATCAATAAGGATGAATTTAATATGTTAAAATCCACCGGTCCTGAACTACCGAACTTATATGGATTACCCGAAATTCATAAACCGAACAATCCACTGAGACCGATATTATCTGTGTGTGGCTCACCTACACATAAGCTAGCCAAATGGTTAGCTAAATTACTTAGCCCGATTCGTAATAAATTGTGTAAGTTTTCCCTGAAAGATACATTTGAGCTAATTGGTGTTCTTGATGACATTAATATTAAAGAGAAGACTATGCATTCTTTTGATGTAAACTCCCTTTTTACCAATGTTCCCCTAATGAAAACTGTTAACTTTCTTTGTGACTATATATTAAGTAATTTCCCTCTTTTTCCCATTCAGTCAAGTCTACTAAGAGAATTAATTTTATTATGTACTGAGAAAGTTCATTTCACGTTTGATGATGAACATTTCCAGCAAGTTGATGGCGTTGCTATGGGTAGTCTTTTGGGACCTCTCTTAGCTGATGTTTATATGGCATATGCTGAAAATTTGTGGAATGAGCACGTTAATAAGCTGACTCTCTATAGGAGATATATGGACGATATTTTAATTATATGTGATAAAGAACTTAATGTATCTCAGTTACTGGACAGCTGTAATAGCCTTCAGAAGGACATTGTACTGACTCATAAACCAGAAAATAATAATCGATTGCCTTTTTTAGACATACTGTTGAGTCGAAGGGAGAATGGAACTATAAAGCGTTCTGTTTATAGAAAACCAACGTGGACTGGACAGTATCTAAATTTCAGCAGTTTTTGTCCACTGCAATATAAGCGAGGTTTGGTAAAATGCCTCTTCAATATGGCTCAAAGAATTTGCACCACGGATACATTTGACGACGATGCAAAATTCTTAACTGAAGCATTGATTTCAAATGGCTATCCGCTAAAGTTCATCAATAGGTGTAGAGATCAGTTAAGACAAAAGCGAGTTTTTCATTCTGCTGAGAAGAAAAAGGTTTATATCACTTTACCATGGTCTAATATTAAGACAGAGACTAAAAGCAGCCATAGAGAAAACATACAACGCTGCTAAACTGATTATCATTGAAAAGACCAAGCCCATGATTTCACATATACCTAAACGTTGCTCGAATGAATACATCACATCCCATTGCATTTATCAATTTACATGTTTGTATGGACACACATACATAGGGAGGAGTAATCGGACTTTGCAATCAAGGGTTGTGGAACATGTACCTAAGTGGCTTCAAAATCAGTTAACGTCAGATGAGCCGATTAGCGTTGGAAATGGAAAACCATGTTCATCGATCGCCAAACACATAATTGAGACAGGGCATAAGATTGACATCAAGACAGCCTTCAAAACATTGTATAGAAATGTTGAAGGACCAATGTTGAGGTTTATGGAGGCCTTGGCTATTAGAATGTTAAAACTCCGCTTATGTGTGCAGAAACAATTTGTCATAACTTTGAATTTACCTTGGTAATCTTTAAGTCTAGGGTAATGTGACAATTTCCCTTCCCTTTCTTCTTATTCTTTTCACATTACGTTAATTTTCTCTCTCCTTTATTTACAATTATCACCCTATGTCTATTTGAACTTTTATTTAATTGATCTTTTATTCATCTTCATATAAAATGCCTTGACAAGTAAATATGTGTGTGACCAGATTGTTCCAAATGTATAGCGCAAATACATCACATTTTCCGGATCAATTAAGTCTTCTCACTGTTCTATCAAAATTATTATTTATATCTTTTAATGTTGTTTCTGATTATTGTTGTTTCAGGTAAATGCGGTTCTTATTTTGTTAATTTCCTTTAGCTCTACTTACGTTGAGCTTATGGTCACTTGAAACGTTACACAATTTTGTGTCACATCATCAACAGATAGATAATAACTATTTTACAAGTGAATTTTTAAAATAATTGTATTATTTGTTAAGCAATAAAAATGTTCCCTTTTTTCATGATCAAAGCAAAAGTTATTTCATTTATTAAGATCAGTGTTTTTCAATTACATCTGTAAAGTTCAGGGTTGTTCACTTTCCTCATTCTCGTTTAACTTTGTCATGGACATGCTTTTAGAGTTAACTTTATATTCGTCTGAATTCTCATGGTTGGACATTCTACGAAGAGACACGCTTAAGGACTTAGAATATGCCGACGACATAGTTCTATCTGGTGAAGACGCTGACAAAATACGGTCTTCTAATCACCCTGAGGAACAATGCAAGCATGTTCGGAATTCGGTTTTCCCTTTCGAAATGCAAAATGTTGCTTCAAGGTTTGCTTGCATTGGCATCAGAACTAGTGATAGGAAGTGAAGCAGTTGAGCGTGTTAACCGCTTCAGAAGGCTCGATTGGCTTTTGCCAAGTTGCGTCACTTATGCTAACCGAAGGTCGAGTGTACTGTGCAGCTGTTTGCTACGTCCTATTTTTTGGCTGTGAAACTTGGTCACTCAGAGTAGAATATATTCGTACGTTACTGGTTTTCGATTATAGGTGTCTCCGAAGCATTTCTCTTGTATCCTGGGACAACCGAGTAAGCAATGCTGTTGTCGGGAATCGGGAACTAGGTAAGGATGGCACGTCAATAGATGAAGTATTGTAACTTCATCAATTGAGGTGGTTGGGATGTGTTATGTATGCCCAACCACCGACTGCCTCGACGGGCTATGTTTTGCAGTGTAGGAGTAGGTTATTTGAAAGTTAGGTGCATCCAAACCTAAACATGACACAGATCCATAAAGTCACTGACAACTGGATTAACTCATGTTGGTAGTTGTCGACTACCTAGTTGGGGCCCGCTAGATGATAGTAATCGATGGTTAAAGACCGTGAATGACATTGCTCAAAATCGTTTGCAATGGCGCAGGTGCATTCATTCTTTGTGTTCTCTCAAATCGTAACCTTCTGGATTCCTCATCACCATCTTTTTCTTTTGAAGTTTGTTTCACTATATTCTACTTCTTGAATACTATCATCGAACCCTAATCTCTCCGATTACTACTGATACTTCTGTTACCTCTACCACTATGGGAATTGAAGTGACAATTGCGTCTGTGCAAATGTGGTGTGAAAACCTGATCTGATGTACGTACGAAGTTCCACATTGTAACTGAATGACTGACTGATATTGTATTTTAGATTTATGTCGAACACTCACCATCATGCTAAACAGAGTATTTTTCGTTGCTATATGACTAGTTGATTTCATCTGCATTATTATGTTTGAATTGTATTTATATATGTTTGCAGTTTCGCAAATAAGTTCATCAAAAAAGCTTTCTTCTGTGGACAAATTTTTCTATGATTTAGTGTGGATATATTAAAGTTAGTGCTGATGTATTCATGACAATTTTTTTAATCCTACCGATTTAGTACTACGATACCCATACCCTTATGGAATCATTCTATTAGAACATCACCGTTTCTCTCTATGTTAAATAATGTAACTTAAGGTGTCATTGTTACGATGCATTCCAAATTAAACATGAGGAAAAGCTTCAAGCTCTATCATCACGTTTTGGTACGCTATTTTATTGTTGTATCATACGTTATTTCTTACCGAATACATTACTGACTAACAGTAGACCAGTAGTGGTGCTTATTTCTTTGTCTAATTTTATGTTATGTCAGGGTATACGTGTTGTCTTTTCTGATTATCGGCAGTTAACGGATGTTTAGATTTAAATCTTAAGTTCAGTATCCATTGCTTTAACGTCAAAATCTTATTTAGTTATTGTGTACATAGTTCTACAGCATTTTAAAGTTAGAGCATACTGTAAATACTAAAGGAAATAAACCGATCGATCTACATCTATCTCTAGTCTCTTCTTATGTATGACAACTTGAACTGATGTATGTACATATGAAGTTTTACGTTGTAACTGACTGACTGACTGACTGACTAAGCTCGTCATGCAAATTGTGCAATAATATGGCGTTTTCTTTCTTTTTTTTTTAAAATTTGGAATGACTAAACGATACGGACAAGCGTTAAATCAAAGAGGGAATACCATAGTTTACAAGCCAAATATATAAATTCAGTAAACTATAAACTCACGTGCCACCAACAATTATTTGGTTATATATATAATAAAATCCAATTTTAATATTCCAAGTGTTCAGTTGATCATTATCATCAACGTAAGATTCGACACAAGTTTGTATATTAGTAGCCATTAATTATTACACATACAGTACAGCATCATGTATTGTAGATTTCTTTTTCTACTCACTTTAATAAAATAACTAAATATGATATTTTATTTCATTGTTTATATCTACATACATATATATATATATAGTCATTCTTAGATGAACGATATCAAGATGTCACCATTATTAGACCATTACGTGATTTTCTAACAAAAGAATTAATTTTATTCGCTCATTTTATGCATTTGGAATCAATTACACCGAATGATCCATTCACATCGATTATTCTTAAAAATCCTAATATCAATACATTGGAAAGACTAACTCAAGATTTCTTAGCCTCATTACAAACTGGTGGATTTCCATCCACAACTGGAACTATTCTTAGGTTAGTTAATTTTTATTCAATTTTGTTGTATTGTGCATTTTTGATTGATTTTTAAAGTAATAAACCAGTATCATGTTTGTCTCTATCAAGCTATGATTGCATTAACGTCATAAACTAAGTTTCAACAAACTTTATGATAGAAAGTAGATTTGTTATGCCTCTTTTATTTTTCTCATAAGATACAATAACAAGCTGAGATAGTAACATTAATTGAAATAATTCAGATGAAGTCATGCAATGTGTTGTGGGTTGATTGAAGCTGGACATTAGCACGTTCGTGCGCAGGATTGAAGGTCCTAGGTTTGATCCCCACTTGTGGGATCGTGCATGCGTACTGCTGATGAGTCCTATACTGGGTCGAAACAGCCGTCCAGTACTTCCAGGTTTCCAATCATGGTCTAGCTTAGTTCGGTTTTATGATTTCAATGAAACTCTTCACAACCCTATTATCCCCTGAATATTACGTAAAAATCATGTTTTAAAATTCTGGTATTCTGTACAATACATATACTATGTCATTCAACGGAGTAATCCAATAAATAACATGACTGACAATTAAACTTTCACCATACAATTACAGTTTATCAATGTTAACTGCTAATGTTTCTAAATTATTATCAATAAATCACTGACTTTTAAGTCAAGATTTGGGCAAATAAATAATCTTTGAGTCATAGTTATTTGTACAGTCGTACTAGTTAATACAAATTGTAAAATACGTATTTAAAAAAATTACAAACAGTTGGTTATCATCTAAATTTTATTTTACTAAACAATTATCATTTTCTGGTGGTCGACTGGATTTTAAGGACGTTAACATCTCAAGGGAAGCACGGAATACTGTGAACTGCTCGGATGGAGCTGGACTTCACAGATGGCCTACCTTTTCTTATCCCATACACACCAACAAATGCAGGTGAAGACTGATAGTATAGCAACAGCCTCTGAAGCAGTAGGTCATAAAATACACAAGGGAAAAAGTAAGATCCTTCTATACAACACAACATGCATCAACCAAATCACACTTTATGGAGAAGCATTGGAAGATGCACAAACCTTTACATATCTGGTTAACATGATCGATAAACAAGGTACGTCCGATGCCGGGGTAATAGTACGGATCTGCAAAGCAAGGGCAGCATTTCTACAATTAAAGAATATCTGGAACTCAAAACAACTGTTAACCAACAAAAAAGTCGAAATTCTCACTACAAACATCAAAAACAGTCCCATTTTATAGAGCTGAAACTACAGAAGCCATCTTGCAAAAGATACAGGTATTTATAAACAGTCGTCTACGGAAAAAGCTGAAGATCCGTTGACCAGGCACCATCAGCAACAACTTCTAGGAGAGAGAACAAACCAGATCCCAATTGAGACGGTAATTTGGAAAAAGTGTTGGAAGTGAATAAGACACATAAAAAAATCACCCGATTGCATCACGAGGCAATCCCTGACTTGGAATCCTCAAGGCCAAAGGAAAAGAGGTAGACCAAAGAACAGTGCTCCGATCATCAGAGACAGACATTAAAAGAATGAACAGCTATTGGGAAGAACTAGAAAAAAGGCTTAGCGATCTGTTCTCCATTAGGGGTAACAGACGTATATACGTAAAAAAATTAGTTGTTATTACCTCTCTAATCTTTATTACATTTCTTTGACTCAGAAGCATAATTTATGTTGTTCTCTTCATGACTTCACAGGGTCGTTTTGTTAGAAAGCATTGTCTGATCTCTATTCAATGAACCTTTTAGGCTTTCTATAAGGATTATGTAGACAAATGTTTTACGACTATACTTGATTGGTTGATTTTCACTAGTGATTGCCATTAAACAAATAAATAACTTGTAATATTTTCGAGATTTACTTTTTTGTTTTCGTTACTACTTTTCTTTTTTTCTATTTAGAACATCTTCAAAAATTGTTCTGGAAAATGACTCTCAAGTTTCGTGTAGTTTCTGTCATGTAGGTCGTCAACATTTTTCATGTTATATTAGAACGTCTTATTGTTCTTCTGAATTGCAATCAGTCATAATGATTAGATGTCATTCTTAATCTATACACCTTTTAGTCTCGAAATAGATATTTAAGTATTTTTCATTGTAGAGTTATGGAGATCATTGATTTTACATATTGAAATCAAGAATCCATCATTGTTAGACCACCATTAAAAGCCTGGAAGTTTTGGACGGCTTTTTCTTCCTGGTACAGAACTCATTAGCAGTGCGCATCTACGACTTCTGTTACTCGCAGAAATTGAACCCAGGACGAAACGGCCATCTAGTGCTTCCAGGTTTCTAATGGTGGTCTAACAATCATGGATTCAAGATTTCAGTGATAAACAACAACATCCATAGCCCTCATGGAAATTCGTACAATGTGCTCTCGGAGTTCTGGTGAGAAGTCATGACCACTGAAGTTCAGCCGTATCGGTTGAAGACAGTATTTGCCGAAGGCAATGGGTGAGGTTGCTCAAAAATTTAGATTGATCAGAGTTATTCAACAACATTACCGGCTCAGTGATCCAGAGGTTAAGCGTTCGTACGCAAGAGCGAAGGTCCTGTATTGAATTCCTGCGACTAGCAGGAATCGTGGATGCGCATTGATGGTAAGTCCCATACCAGAACGCGACGGCTGTCCGGTGCTAACATTCAAGTATTACTAAATCTATCATTTGCATTCGTCGCGAATTATAATCCCCCCGAGGTCGACTTATAACAAATACCACATCTAAATTGAACCACTCTCTATAGAATTTCCCCAACTTAGCTATTCTGTTATCGCTTTTAAATTTTATGAAAACGCCTTTTAGTATTGTTAGGGATATTTTTTTAATGGTAAGATTTTATCAACTAAAATTGTCTGATTGCTACTGTGAATTTATTTGGAAGAAGCATGTTGTAGTATCTGTCTCACCATGGCCGCATCACCCATAATCTTTTTCAACCAGTGATTACATATAATTACTTAATTCCGTTCATCAGTTTAGTATCCCCTCAGATAATATGTTTGCTTCGAATTGATCTACACGAATTCTTAGAAGCAGTTGACTACGGCTTATTATCCCTGATGACTTAGCAGCCAATGAAGTATTAGTATCCGGACTTGGCTAACCTAGGCTATGCCATATAGGAGATGTGATTCTTCATTATATATTTCAAAAAATTTGACCACATACCTATTTTTAAGATCATTTAACAATGAAGTGAAATGAATTCAAGTAAGTCAATCAATGCATAACAGTGACAAAAAATCTAGAAAACAAGAAGTATAGTAATAGGTTTTAGCATAATCTCTAAAATCTAAAACTGAAAATGTAATTTTTCTTTCATACTTTTTTCCTTCAAAATTTCCCTTCATTACAAATTATTGATGGCTGCCGAAGATTTTTACAACAGATCACCATTAGTTGTAATGATACTATTACATGACATTCTATTGCTTATTTCAGTAATTTTAATTGGTAAAATCATCCATAAGATACTTTAGTTATGTGATGGCTATTCCATGTGCTTCCGGTCTTAGCGTACAGTTGTAAACCACCCATCACCGTTACTATATCAGTATATTATAGTCGGACATATACTAAGTGGGAACCGGTATCAAACATATTACTTAATGTTAATAAACGTCATCTGTACAGTTTGACGACTCACTTATTCTTTATTCTGTTTTTAAGTCCCTGATTGGTGAAGTTTATAGTCGGTTGATTAGATATCTGACAACTAATCTAGTGTTATTGTTTCTTACTTGGTGTTGTGTTTCGTACATTCAGTAATTAGGCCAAATACTTTAAATGACGTCTTAGACGTGGTTGATAACACTAGGTCAAGTTTGTGTTAGCTCATCCAAATCCCATCGTACTCTGTTAAACATAATATTTTGGTTTTTTCTATGTTCTGTAACTTTTCAATAATTTACATTATGTATTTCTTGAGGACTTTAAATATTATTTCTATTTCAGTTTCCTGTATGCAATACAGACTCTTCTAATGATCCAGACAAATTGGCCACAGAATCGATGAAATATTCTTCCTCCTTATCGAACCCTAATTCTTTTGATGAGAAAACCGACCCTGAAAGTATCGAAAAAGTCTTATGTCCTCCTTGTTCATTAATGTTCAAAGAACTGTCTATTTGTACATAAAGACATTTTCCATACTTTTTCCCAAGCTTCAGTTTTGCTACTTTGTATTTCAAACAATACAGTTCTACTAGATAAAAACTGGTAGCACCGATAATTATTAAATCTACCAGACCATTGTTTACTATATGTCAAACCTGGTAAATAATGTCCAAGGACTGGTTCTTATCGTTATCCACCACGACAATTTCAATTAAATCTTGAGAGCTTCATATTGAAATCAGGTTGAAGAAAAGTTCACTACCTTCAACACACATTAAGCAGTTGTCAAAAGCCATTTTTTATCCATCGGAAATAAATCTTAGTTCAATGGTTTTAGTCTACCAAAAGACATCAAACTGTAGACATCCGGTAGGTGTGGGGAGTTCGTACGATTTAGGTCTTGGTCGTTATTAGTGCACTAATCTATGCTACTAGGATGAATGACCAGGTCCATATATTGTAGACTTGTCGTCATACGGTTATTTTACCCATATCTTACGTCGAAGTTTTATCATTGTCTGTGCTGACGGGTCCTATTGTAAAAGTTGACTATTTCTTGTATGAATCTTTGGGTTTGAGATAGAACGATGTATTCAGTACAAAGGTCAAGATGATGCATGTAGTGGTAACACCATAATTATTAAGTGTTTTGTCGGCTACTACAAGTTTCCACCGGTTTTATATATTCAACTTCAAGAACCATGCGATAGGGAGTCAATGTCACTGCAAACACTAGTGTGTTGTATTGACCGTAAGGGTCAATGTAGACATGGGAGTAGTCTGGTGTTACACTGGTTAGAATGTCTATATCCAACAGGAACTGATCGACAATTACTCATGTCAGCCTGTGGAGAATCCACTCAAGCAATCTTAGATTTGTACATGCTATAAGACCGTTGGGAAGTGGAACATCTGTTTGAATTTGATGAGGACTAGTAGCGACTTGGCCGGATTCAACTTTATGAGTATTTATCTCTTCCTTAAAATGAAGGCGGACAAATCATTACTGCCCCTCGCATCTGATAC